GAACCAGAATTCAAATTGGACAGTCCAATTTACCAGCTGTGAGACCCTGGGCAAGTTAACCTCGCTAAGAACTGTAGTGTTTCTCTCTAATACATCCTTCAAAAGCATGTAAGCCCTTCAGAGCTAAGAGAACTTTGCCAGACAAATTAGAGATTCCAGCTTAAAAATTTCCCTTCTAGTAAACATAGCATTTAAAGGGATGCTTCCCAAATTTTAGGTATGCCTACTTTTATCACAATGAGTTATGGACTCCTGTCCTCAAACTCATCAATTCAGAATGGGTCTTTAAAAAAAAACAGACATAGGCTTACAATTACCTATTCACTTTCTTCTCAATTCATAGGTTATGTCAAATTGTTCCCCATTTACAATTCCTAATATAAGTACAATTACTGCATTCAGCTGCTGATACTCTTAATTTCTGGCAAATCTCTATAAAAAGAAATAATATGAGTTTAAGCTAGAAATAATTTTTTAAGGTCAGAGAGTGGGTAAGGAAGTAAGATTCAACACCATTCAACTAATGGAAAGTGCTTATTGCTGAGTGGAGTTTGGCAGACCTCCAGAATTCTTTTGCAATGCACAGCAGGATACCAACAAGTACTTATAAAGTACATTTTTGGATCTGAGGAGATCTCTGATCACTTTAATCTGAAATTATGATCGGAATGCTTTAGTCACTTCAGGAAGAAGGGCAGTCTTCCCGTACCAAGTTACCACTGAAGTCGGCTATAATGCTGTAAAACAATCCTTGATCACAAATTCCACCCAAGGATATAGGGAGAGAAAGCTGCACTCATGAGAAATATCTGAATATCTATAAATCCTATCAGATATGATTACCAGCGACCAATGGATGAATAATAAATAAGCCTGTCCTTTCAAGAATCTCTATTAAAACTAGAATAATTTCAGCAGAACCTTGAAATCAAAGTTATTAGTGGTAAGGCTACAGAAAAATCTCAATGATTACTTTTTTACTTTTCAATCACCTCCAAAAGAAGAGAGACTGGCTCTTTGTGAATGAAAACCTTATTCTCCTTCTGAGCTCCTTCACAGTTCTCCATGCAAACCTTCACTACTATGTAGGTATATGTGAAAGGGTACAGGTAAGATATTAGCATTATCATATGGGATTATACTTTAATAAATTGGTTTATACTTATGTGTGCTGCGTAGCACTGATCTTGAAGTTCTCAATCCAAAAACACACACACAAACAAAAAAAAAAAACCTTGTAAAATGTAATTTAAGGTTCAGAGAATAAAAAGACCAAGTTGGTCTGGTTCACTGTCAAATCCGCAGTGCCCACCAATGACTACCCTCAAAATTTTTACTAAGAGTTAACCGTGTACTACCAGGGCCTGGACTAGGCAGGCAATGGGAAACAACAATACATAAGACAGTCTTCACTCCCAGAGACTAACACCAGAGGGGAGACTTGACCAGTACCAGGAAAAAAAAAAGTGAAATATACACTAGCCTAATAACCTGAGTTTGGGAAAGACAAGATTTACTCCTATTCCTCCGGATAAGTCATCTGGCTGGCCTCCTTCCAACACTTAGGTCTCTGCTCAAACACCCTACAATGAAGGCCTTCTGACCACAAAATGTAAAGGAGGGCCCCCTCCCACTCCTATCATCTCCCTTTTCTTCTTTCTCATTACCTGCTTCATTCTTCCCCCAGTGCTTATCACTATCTGAAACTGTATCATTTACCTGCTGGGCAGTATTCCTCCACTAAAATGTAAGCACCCTGAGAGCAGGGACCTTATCTGTCTCATCTAGTGTTCCATCCATCCCTTTCACCTAGAGGCTGGTATACAACAGTCATTCCATAAACACTGTGGGAAGGAGGGACTCCTACTAGTGAAGTACACACTCAGGACACTTACCTTTTTCCCACCCAGAAAAGCCTCAACCTTATAAAAACCAGAAGTCAGACTAGTTACAGGAATCAACAACCACGGAATTCTGAAATCTGTGATGTCCCAAAGGGAACATAAGCAAGAATGCTTCTCATCCACTGCTCTCTTTACACTGCCTCCCTATAGTGTTTCTTCAGAAAGCTCTCTATTCAGTTATAATTCATTCAAATAAATACCAGCAAAATTTAATCTCTGTGAAAAAGACAGAGACTCTCAGAATTCTTTCCTATACTTACTCTAAAGCAGCTCTTCTTTAAAAGTTACCTGTTGGAGCTGGGACAGTTAAGCTACAAAGTGAAATTGGCTCAGCTGGAGCACTAACCCTAATGAGACTATAAATTCAGGAACAGAGCCTCCTTCCCCCGTCCCCTCTGCATTAAATTCATAGCAGGTACTTCACAAATATTTGTTTTCAAAAAACTATACTTGGTATCCATTTTAATAAAAGTAACCTGCAAAACCCAGCAAGCAACTTAAGAATTGCTACATTTCTTTTTTAATCAAGGTACTGGGGATTGAACCCAGGATCTCCTGCATGCTAAGGCACTCTACCACTGTGCTATATCCTCCCCCAAAGAACTGCTAAAATCTTAAGAAAAAAAAAACACAGGAGTTTGAGCTCCACACTGAACCAACAGCTGGCAGAAAAAGCAGCTGTAGAGAAAAGGGGGTTTCATTTTCATCCTGGTACCTTTGAAAAAGCCGACCTAGGTACATTTTTAACTTCTACTTCTCCAAATCCTGTTCTGGACTTGAAAATGGAGGGAATCAATCTTGGAATTCTTCCAAGAGGATGAATCTAGTTAGTCCCAATCAATAAATGGCAAACTAGCAGATGAGCTGATGATAGGTTCTTTTATGTGCTTCTTTTTGCCTGTTTATTTTCTGCAATGAGCAAGCAATGCTTTTGTAAAAACAAAACAAAACAAAGCTTTCATTAAAAAACAAAAAAAATTGACATGAAAGGCAACAAGTAGGACAATGATTTTTTTTCACTTTCTCTAAACAGTAAGTGTTGTGTTTGTGCAGATCCAATTGGCACTGAACTACTGATTAACAGATGCCTTGGTCAGATGTGTTCTAGTCACTGATAAGGTGCTTTTCGTTGTAAACAATCCTCTCTTAGGGTCGTTTGGCCCTCAGCGAGTGCTTCACAGGGGAGTGAAGGCTTCGAATTGTTCAAGCAAAGCCTCCGTGGCCCCCTTTCAGAAGGGCTTCGGAAGAGATTCCTGCACCCTGCACCGTGTGCACAGCGAGACTCGCAAATGTTTTGGCGTTAGGACCTATTTACTCTCTTATCCACTGAGGACCTCAAAGAGCTGTGGTTTATGTGAGTTACATCTACTGGTATTTGCAGTATCAGAAATTAAAGCTGAGAAATGAATAAAACACATCAGAGCCATCAGAGTGGTGATGTCATCACACACTTCTGCAGCCTCTGGAAAACTCCACTGTACTGATAAAAGGATGAGAGTGAAAAAGACAATGTCTTAATGTTATTCCAAAAATAGTTTTGATATGACAGACACCCCCCACCCCGCCCAGAAATGATCCTTAAGAATCACTAGATCATCAAGATCCCTTCCAATGCTATGGCTCTGAGGCAGGTTTTCTCAACTTTGGCACTTACTGACATTTTGAGGTGGATAATTCTTTATTTGGGGCGGGGTGCTGTCCTGTGAACAGTAGGGCGTTTACAGAGGCACACCTGGCCTCTTCCCACTAGATGCCAAAAGCAATCTCCAACTGTGACAACCCAAAATCTGTCCAAATAGTGCCAAATATTGAGAATCCCCCATTCCAGGGTGTTGATTTGATTCGACTGAAATGTGAATTACACAATGTGTACCTCTCACTGCCTTCTCATCAGGCCCCTAACGTATCTATTTCCTCTCCACTCCCATCTAGGTGTGCTCCTCCTGTGCTCTTACTAGGTCACAAACAAGAGTCTGGTAGCAACAAGCACAGGATTTATCAGGTCAGGAAGAGACATTCTGGCCAAAGTTCACCTTTCAGGCATAAAAGGCCTCAGGGATCCAATGCTTGGGGATGGGAGGTAGGGCACACATAGCACCACCAGCCAACCTTCATCCAGCCATTCTTAGGACCTGGTAACAACCCAATCCTTAGGAAGTTACCTACCCTCCTCCCCTGAAAACGAGGTAATGGAGGTAACAGGCTAGTCGTGTGAGAGGAAAGAAGAAAAGGAGCTTCTGAAGGAAAGCCAAGAGGCAGTATACGAGTCTCAGATACACCACCCCTGAAACCTCAACCTCTGGGGACTTTTTCGTCAGTGTCGAGCTGGGAGGAAGTAACAAAACTGATAGAAAACCGACGTCCTCAGCACCTCCAAGCCAGATATTCACACCCCACCAAAGTTCCTACTCATCCCTTTAGTCTCCAGAGGTTGGGTCCAAGTTCTTTCTCCTGGAAACTGCCCCAGCCACCTTAGATCCCTTCCCCCTCAAAATTCCAAGTACCAAACTCAAATCCAGTATCGTTCCTCACCCTTCCTCCACAGCCACAAATCTGCACACCACCCCCACCCAACCCTCTCACTGCCCCTCAGACTGTACTCATATCTGCTGCTCCCCTCCCCCAAGCTTCTCCACGCAGGCAGTCTCTTCCCTCCCCAGTTTTCTCTCCCGCCCCGTAGTTTTCCACCATCTTCAAAACTCTTCCCTGATCCTAGGACTAGGACCCTCCTAATTGTATGTGCCACCCTGGAATCTGCACGTACCGTCCCCTTCTACTCTCATCACTCCTAAGCATCTCCCCCCAGTTACTTTCTACCCCGATCTACTCCACTCCTCGCTCTTCCTTACCTACTCCCTGGGCGTCCACCCCCCTTACTTGCCCCTTCCTACTCTCATGGGCCCTTCTCCCCCCGCCATCCCTCGGTCAGGCCTTCTCTAGGTCACTGCTCGTCCCTCGGGCCAAGCGCCAACGCCCAGTGTCAGTCGTTCAGCCTCTCAACCCCCTCCCCCTGGACCAGTCTTTCAGGTTGTGGCCTCTGAACTGTGCGCCCCGGGCCCAAACGGAGGGACTAAGCAGGAGGGCCCGACAACTCACCCAGGACGAGGCAGAGCAGAAAAAGCCCGGAGCCCGGAGCCGGGGAGAGGCGGAAGCACACCATGATACCGCAGAGCAGGCGGCGGCCGCGACGCGAGCAGCGACACCGGGGAAAAGGCTCGCGGGAACCGGAGTCAGAACGCCGCTGACCACCAACCACAACGCTGCAAAAGCCAGGACTCGGCGCTTCTGCACGGGTCATAAGACCAGGGGCGGGGCTCTTTCTTACCTTCAGCCAATCTCCGCGTTTGAAAGCGGCCAGAGGGGTGGTGATGCAGGGCCCGGTGGGCGGGGCGACCACGCCCTGGCTTTTTGGTTCACAATCATTCCTACGCTCCTAAGAGATGTACGCGGACGGCCTTTTCTGAAGCAAAAGAGAGAGGATGAACTTTTGAAGGTGGGTAGGTAGTGGAGATCATTTCAGTTCCGACTCCTCGAGGAAGAAAATACTTTGGCCGGAGTAAAAACGGTTGCTAGGCATCGCCACGTAATACCTACAGAAATAAAACATGATTAGATTCTCCAAACACTGTAGTTGGCCGTGCAGTTCATGCCATTAAATGGACAAGGGAGCTAGAGGGTAATATGGAGTTACTGAACGCCAGAGCAGGGCTTGGCCTTGAAATTCACTAGTTACAACACCCTATTTTTCAGATGGAGAAATTGAACTCAGAAAGAGGAAGAGTCTTCTTTAAATACAGAAAGAAACAAAATGAGGAAGAGAGAAATAAAATAGGACGGGGGAGGGGGGGGGACAAAAGATCATCCCTTTTCCTGCTACCCAGAGAGAGAGAACACTGTTATCTATGTATCCATTTCAGTTGTTTTTCCTTTCCCTATACACTTGTAAATATTCTTTAATTAGAGTTCATACTAAATATGCTATTTGGTATCGTTGACGGTTGAACAGATGAAACCTAAAATACTCAACAAATGAAAGCATTCAAAAATGAAAAATCTCAAATTGGGATAAAGCACTGATTCTCAAATGTTTCCAATAGAATCATCTGGGGATTTTTAATAACATAGAATCCTCAACCTCATTCCCCAGAGATTCTGAAACAATAGGTCTATGGCAGTCCTTGGAATCTGTTTTTTTTTTTAAACAAGCACCGCAAGTGATTCTGATCTTTATGATCCCTGGACTACACTTTGAGAAAAACTAAAATAGAGCTTCTAAATCATCTAGTCCAGGAGATCTTAACCTGGTGTCAGTAGATGAACTGGGGGCCCGGGATGGGGGAGGGGGTACAGTTTGTGAATCCCAAGAAATTACATGCAAAATTTATGTATTTGTATTTTTCTGGGGAAATTTATATAGCTTTTCCTAGCTCTTAAATGGGACCTGTGACTCCTCACCCTAACACCCTCCCTGGCTCAAATATTAAGACCCACTGATCTACCCCCACTATCATCTGCTTTAATGTGATTAATTCCTGAAAGTGAAAACACTTAGCAATGAATGTGTTCTGTCACAGATGAAACTGAGTCATGAGCAAGTGACTTGCTCTACGAGGGACTAACATACACTGCAGGATTAGGCATGGCCTTTAGCAAAACAAGGAAACAAGGTCATTTGTCTGCCTCACTATCCATGAGGCTTGACAGGAGCTATGTCCTGGAGAATCCATGATTGAGTTCAGCACTCAGGAGTTGCCCCCCCAGTTTCTTACTGAAAGGACTCTGTCCCTTCTCCCTCAATTGTAAACTGCATAACTTTAATGTTCAGTGAAACCCTAAGTTCTAGAAGAAGAGACAAAAATGCATAGTGGAAAGATGGGCCATCACAAGAGTTGGGCAGAAAATACTGCTTACTGGCAGCGTGACCTTGGGCAAGTCACTTTGAGCTCTGTTTCTTTATCTATAAAATCACCTAGTATGACTAGAGCTGTTTCTTAATTCTGGCTGCACATTGGGATCACTTGTAGGGCACTGAAACTAGAGATGCCCCTTGGTGCCACCCCTTGAGAGTCTGATTCAGTTGGATGGAGTGGGGCCTTGGCATTGGAGTTTTCTCAGCACTCCCCAGGGCAGTATTAATGGGCCAGAGGTGATCTCGAAGGTGGCCCCAGCTTTACAGTTCGAGGATTCTATAAAAGTAAATGCATATTTGCTTAAAATAGAAGGAAACAAAGTGGTTCCAATTAGTCAAATACCCCATTTAACAAATTGTTGTCCTTAAGTTCTTGCAGAGGTCATCAAATGAAAAAACAGAACACAGTGAGGTAACAGCAGCCTTATAAGCTAAATGCCACCCCCCCCACCGTCACTGCCTTTTTCCCTGACAAAAACAAAGGCTGGTTTAACCTCCAAAACCTCGTTCTGTCTCCTAAAGGACTGTGTCCCAGTCAAGGTAAGTAAATGGGTTATTTTGTCAGAAGTAATAGGCAAAAAATTTTCAAATCTTAGTTTGTTCTGAGCTTCCAAATTCAAAATTGTTTTATGTTCCACCCCTACAAACACTGCGAGAACTACTCCCTTTCGTCGGCACCGTCTCCATCCGTCCCGCCCAGTCCAAGGAACTTGCCCCAGGCTCTTCTTTCGGAGACACAGATGGGGCTGTGGGACTGGGCGCTGTGTGTGGGGAACTCTGTAAGATCCCCTGGGATCTGAGCTTCACATCTGTGGACTGGGTTGTTGATCCTGCTGTAAACCGAGTGCTTTTACTGCTTCCTGTCCTTCAGTACCTCCTACCTCCCCTCTGTGCAAGACCCCTCAGCCCCCACCCCAGCCTCCTACCGCCCTAGGTAGGTTATGACTCTTCTGAGGAGCTTGGAGAGCTCAGGACTTTTTGGCCAGGGAGCCGGGAGTCACTGGCAAACACGTCCTTAAATGTGAATACGCTGAGTGGTAAATGATAGACAATAAAATATATGGGTCAGAGAAAGGAAATGGAAATAAAGATACAGATTTAGAATGGAAAAAGGATAAATGCACATCAAATAAGCGAATGAAGTATATTAGTGTCACCTACCAGCCATCTCTCAACTGAAGAAAAACTCACAGCCTCAAAGTTGTGAGTTCTGTTTTTTTCAGGGACCTTACTGAGGAACTCATCCAAAGAGGTCAGGGACGAGCCAGGATAAATGGGAGTTTTCACTGGAAAAAAATCCCGTAGTTGAACATCAACAGATAATTGCTAATCAAAAAAAAAAGACATCTCTGGTTAAAGATTTTAGTGTTTTTCTGTGTATGGAAAGATGCAAGAAGCTCTACTAGTTGAAATTACTCATCAGATATGCATCTTAACCACCTAGGGCCAGTGTCCTGTTTTTCTCCATCCTGAGTCCCCTCAGGCTCACTGTCAGGGCAGCGGCAGTGGCTGAAGGCTTGATGTTGGGGGTGGGCAACATTCTTTGTTTACTGAAATGGCAGGCAGCATTTTTTTGTCTGCACATCATACAGTTGTGCAAAAAGTGTTGCCTACACTCCTTTTTGCGTTCTCCCTCTAGCATGGCCCCCTTTTCCGGGTAAGCCTCCAACCTGTGACAGTGTGGTCATCACTCAGCCCCAGCAGAGAAGTCACAGTGGGCCCAAAGGCTGAGCTAGAGCACACTGGGTGGATGGAAACACGCCCTTGGGAGTTACTTGTCTTCCCCAGCAGGAGTCTTCTGGACCTCCCCTTAGAGGACCTGGTCGAATCTGCTAGCAGTTCTCAACTTGGGGCTTGTGTGAAAACCACCAAAAAGGCTTTTGAAAACACAGATGACTGGGCCCCACTATGGAGTTTGCGCAAGTCTGGGGTGGGGTGTGAGCATTGCATTTCTGGCAACTTCCCAGATGATCCTGATCTTTGCTGTTTTGAGTAAAGAGGCCCCAAACCGGGTGACCCATCCTCTGGGGAACGGGACTAAGAGGTGGGGGAGAGAGGACTTTCATTAACTTCCGCAGTATTTCAATTTTTACGGCAAGTGAATTGTTTGTGTAATAATGTTTTTAAATGAATGAATGCAAATCAATTTTTTAAAAATCAAATAATTTTTAAAAGTATAAAATCTAAAGGAAATACACTTTCCCCTACCCTGGACCACAGTCCCACTCCTCAAAGTAATAACTGGTAAAGGTCTCTTTTTTTAAACTCTCATGAAAAAATTATGCATGTACCTGCAGATACATTTATATTCTGGTTTTAATTAGAGAAATACAAGCATGCTCTACAGATGGTTTAGTGGTTTGCTGTTCGAGATATGTATCTTGAAGATGGTCCTTAAAAGTCATATAGCTTTACCTCATCCTTCTGAATAGCTGCATAACCTTTAATTGTGTAGCTGTACCATAATTTATAAAAATACCAGTGATCTAAAACCCCTCCGCCCAAAACAAATCCCTAGCTCTGTCTGCAGCATCGCCCTGTGGTTAACACAGGAACTGCATCACAAAACAACACCATTTATGTAAACAAATTTTAATAAATCATTTAGATTTATGTGGCCCTTTTGAAAAGTGGAAAGGTGCCACAAGAAAAGCATCACTGGTGTGGCTGGAGCAGAGTGGAGTCTGGCCGCTGTGATGCTGAAGTGGATTTCTGGAACCCACTCAGCCATCAGATTGTCATGTAACCTGGGGAAAGTCATTTCATGCTCTGTGTGCATCCTCTCCACACACAGATGAAGACGATTCTGGCCCCTGCTGCTCACTACTGGTCATTTGCGTGACCGCTGGACCTCAGCCCCCTCATCCATAAGATGGAGATGAGAATAGTACCCATCACTTAGGATTATTGTGAGGATTAAATGAGATATGGGGAAAGCGCTGATGCGTCGTGAGCGCTCGACAAGCACTCCCGTTACTGTTAGTAGTAGTAGTGATCGTAGCGTTCCCTTCTGCCCGCCAGTGCATCAGAGACCTCAGAGGTTTTCACTGGTGCTCACTGATTAAGGGAGGGCCACGGAGAGCCTTCAGATTTTAAAATTCTTTCTGTATAAATGTGTATATATCCAATGAAGAACAATTGTAAAACATGGCTAAACACAGAGAGGAAAATTAAAATAACCTATAGTCTAAGGGAAGGGCATAGCTCAAGGGGTAGAGTGCATGCTTAGCACGCATGAGGTCCTGGGTTCAATCCCCAGCACCTCCTCTAAAAATAGATAAGCCTAATTACCTCCCCCTCCACCAAAATAAAATAATTAAATAATATACTAAATAAAGCATTTTTAAACATAATAAAAATTAAAAACAATAAAATAACCTGTGGTCCT